TTAAGATCTGTGGAGTTAAAGTTAACAATTTAAGGACCTTTAAATGTTTGTAGACTTCAACTCCCAGAATCCCCCAGCCAGCCATACTGGGCAGGTTGAAATCAGTCTTAGGGGATGTTAAAAAGGTAAAAGTTACCTTTCGCATATAATATGTGCTAGCTGTTCCCAACTCTAGGGGACGGTGCTCGTCTCCGTTTCAAAGCCGAAGAGCCAGCGCTGTCCGCAGACGTCTCCGTGGTCATGTGGCCAGCATGACTCAACGCTGAAGGTACACGGAACGCTGTTCCCTTCCCACCAAAGGTGGTTCCTATTTTTCTACTTGCATTTTTTTAACCTACTTTCGAACTGCTAGGTGGGCAGAAGCTGGGACAAAGAACGGGAGCTCCCTCCGTGATGTTGCGCTAGGGATTCGAACCGCCAACTGATCAAGTGTTCCTAGACAACGTGCCCTATGTCTTATGGAAACTCCTGCTCTCAAGAGATTCAAGAAAGCAGGGCATAGGAGGAAATATTTGGGGCACCAATGATGTCCCCCACAACCTGAGGCTTGCCTAGTTCCCAACCGATGCTCAGATTCCGGTTCTCAACAGCGAAATTCAGCCGAACGAGATTCCAAGTGTTGAGCTCATCATATCAGCGGGAACCCAGGCTGTCCGAAGACAAAATTAACGGTGAATTGAGCGATCGGGGAAAACTTACTTTGGCGACGCAGGAGTGCCCGTCTTCCTCTTACTTCGAGAAGCTTCATTTCCTTTTGGAAGCTGTTGAAAGAGAAATAATAACAGTTGATGTGCATCAAAGCAGAATTCTGACGCTCAAGAGGGTTTCTTAGGAGACAAAAGGGGGTTTAAGATGCCCGGTGGGTCCCATCAGACAGCTTCTTCTGAAGCAATCCATCCTCTTTTCCACCTGCTGGTACCAGTGGGTTCAAACTTTGCAGTTTCTGGCACCAAGCAGACAGTAAGACGTGGTAGGTTTTCATCACTGGGACGACAAATTGCTGGTTTTAACAGCCTTCAATGCATTTATTAAATTGATAGGACGGCCCCCATCTAACTTAGATGCTAATTCAGCTGCCATGATATCTGAACATTTTCAAATGTAATTTATATCCCATGATCCGAAGACCGGTGAATTGACATGATAAGGGCGCTATGGGGACGCCGTGGCTCAGTGGCTAAGATGCTGAGCTTGTTGATCAAAGTCGGGAGTTCGTATCCCTAGCACCGCGTTAACGGAGGGAGCTCCCATTACTTCTCCCAGCTTCTGCCAACCTAGCAGTTCGAAAGCAGGTAAAAAAATGCGAGTAGAAAAATAGGAACCACCTTTGGTGGGAAGGGAACAGCGTTCCGTTCTTCCAAAA